GGTGTCCTCTCCCCCAGCATCCCAGTGTGAGGAGGCTTGACAGCAGGGGGCCTGTGAGCCCTCACTGGCTGATGGACAACCAGCCAGATGCTGTGGGTGGGGCTGGCCCGGTCATCCCCAGGACCCAAGAGGCCCCCAGGCAGAAGCCTCACACATGTTCTGGGACCTGCCCCTGGAACGGGGGACACACGGCCTTTGGATCTGGCCTCACTCTGACTCTGGAGGTGGGGCCTGCTTGCCCATGGCATAGTTCCCAGGACAACGATTGCCCTTTGCCAAGAGAAACACAGACCATAACGCTGGGGACTGGCCTTCAGCACACAGCTGCCTCCTGACAACCGGTGCACGACCTTCCAGCTCCTCACAATGGCCCCCCGCAGCTACCGGGGAGGCGGCCGCAAGCTGCCAGTCCAGAGGGTGTGGGCAGCAGGAGGGCAACGTGGCTACCAAGTGCAGCAGGGCAGGGAGGGCTCTGGGGATAGCAGTCAGAGACGGCCCACTCCCACAGGCCAGATGCTCAGCCCAGGTGTCACTTGGGCCCCACACTGCACAGGTTGGGGCTCCCATGTGTCCCCCCCAAAGTGGCTGTTGCTCTACTTCCCACCAGGCCACCCCACCCAGGAAGGCTGGCTGCGTGCACATGCGCTGTGGTCCCCAGGAGGGAAGGGGGAGGGCTGGAGTAGGCAGTCTACTGTCTAAATCATGCAGTCTCACCCCAACCCTGGGCCGGACCCACTCTTACCAAGGGGGGGAGGGTCTCAACTCTGGGTCCCTAAGAAAATGCCGTGTCTGCAGTAGAGTGTATACACGTGAACACATGTGAGTGGGCACACGGGTTAGCATGCATGCAAGGTCTGTTCTCACAGGTGCTGGTTCCATGTGTCTGCTGTGTGCATATGTACACATTCATAGGTATATGTGCGTCTGTGTGAATGAGGTGCACGTGTATCAGTGTGAACACACGTGGGTATGTGCATGCATATATGTGGGTAAGTGTGCATGTGTGTGGGGTCCATCTGCATGTGGGTGAGGATTGTGCACATGGGGGGGGGGTGTGCAGGTCACCTTCACGTGGACACTAGCCAGTGGGCAGAAGCCGGGCACCATGGAGCTGGAGGCCCTGCTCTGCCCAGACCCCAAAGATGGGTGAAATCAAAAGATGACCTGACCCAGTGTGGCCCAGAGCCCAGGCCGGCCACCCACACTGGTGAGGCACCCTTTCGGCATGTCCCCTGCCTGATGTGGCATCCCTTCCAATGGCTGCATGCACGCTGTGGCCAGCACAGAGGCCGCCAGTGTGGGGCACTGCTGGTCCAGCCCATTCAGCCAGGAAAGTGGTCGGACTCCAATCAAAGGCAACATCACTGCCCTGCCCCTACTGTCCGCCGGGCCACACACAGGCAATGCAGGGAGGCTGGCGAGGCCTGGGGTTTCTCCAGTGTCTACGAAGCATAAGTGCCCCTAGCTCAGCCTGCAAACCCCCAGTCCCCGAGGAAGCACTGCACCAGCAGGCGGAAGCTGCGTCCTCCCTCCCCTCAGAACCTGCACTGGGCACTCTAAGCTTCTGGATCCAGAGTCCACCCAGGGTCTCAGAAATCTGGGTGACGGAGTTCTGTGCTGGTCGGGGTGGTGGGTGCTGCCCAGACTAAGGCTCGGACTCCCCAACTCACCTCTCTCTGTCCCCCTCCAGCCCAGACCACCCTCGACCCTAGCTGAAACCATGTCCAGAGCACGGCCACCTGCAGCCCCAGAGCCCTGCCCTACCTGCTGCTCACAGAGGCCCTGAGCCCCTGAGAACTGCCCACTTGGGAAGGTCTGTGCCCCCTGCCATCCTATCTCAGAACGTGTGCCGCGATACCAAAGGACTGGCCCGTGCCTGCTCCAGTCAGTTGTGCCGGCACGGCCGCACAGCAGGCCCTTCCGAGGGGTCTCACAAAGGGGAGAAGAGACACAGGCATGGAAGGACACCAGGTTCCGGTGCACCCTCAGTGCCTTGGAAAGAACCTACCGGACTCCACGTGGGCCCCCTACCCCCAGCTCGCAGGTGAAGGAACACCTGGTCTGTACAGCGATGGCGTTAGGGCCCTGGAAGTGACACCAGCAAAAGGCCCCACCACCCAAAGCTCTGCCCACCTCTCCTGAGGCGCCTCCCCCCTCCCCCCACAGACCAGTCCAAGTCAGTGGACGCAAGGGGGCTGGGGAAAAAGGTTTGGGGAGGAGGAGGAAGGAGGAAGGGAGTCTCTTCCTGGGGGTGGGGTCTGCCAGCCTGGAAGGAGCAGGTGGGTGGGGCAGCCAGAGATGTCCCCAGTCCCAATCCCCTACCTCGTGCCCCCCCCCTCATGTCACCCACGAGGACCAGAGAGACAGCAGGGAGAACCACTGGATTAAGGGGTGGGACAGGGCCGGGGCCCTCGGGCAGCAGGCATGGGCGACAGGCCTTGCTTCCTCCTGGAACAAGCCAGGTTGTTAGGCTCCCAGGGGCTGGCTGTGGAAGCTTCCCCAGAACCCGGCCTCTTGGCTTGGGGGGCAAGGGTGGGAAAGCCAGCTCAGGGACCCTACTCAGAGGCTCCTTCTAGGAGGGAACCCAGGCCCGAGTCAGCACAGGCTCCCCCGACACCCAGTGTTGGCTAGCTCTCCCACCCCCCACGAGATCGTCACCAGTCCCACGTGCCGGGGGTTGCGAGCCTCAGAGCTGGCCTTCCCAGAGCCCCCTGAACACTCCTTACCTTCCAGGGGGCAGGGGGATGGGGAAGGAAGAACCTCTGAATCAGTGGGGCCTCCCTGCTACCACCAGGCCATTGACCAGGACCCGGGGCAATATCAAGGCTCAAGACAGGGCACTCCCCCACCACCCAGCTGACCCAGTGGCCCTGGGCAGCCCCTGGCTGCCCTAAGCCCTGTCCTCTGGGAGGCCTGGCGCAGACCTGTGCGTGAGGGTGAGGGATTGCCGGGACGGTGCACGAAAGTTTCACACCTGTGAAGCTACCCTACCCTCTGGAAACAGCAGGCGGTTCAGCGTCTCAGGGAAAGTGCAGCCCGACACCTGCCCCCTGACCCCCGGAGGCTCCATGGTGCCTCTGTGTGCCAGCACTTGTCCTTGTCACCTCCAGCTCCCCACCAGCCCAGGCTGGGGCCTCCTCCCACAGCAGCCCCAGGAGGGCAGCCCCCACCCAGCTCTCTGCCAAAGAGCAAGCACAACCACCACCCACGCAGCTCTGCTGGCTACAGGCCAGCGCTCAGTGCGGGAGCCCAGTCCCACCCTCTGGGCTGCCCAAGCCTTGCCCAGCACCAGCGGCTGCCAGACTGCGGCCCCGCCACGGCCACCGCCCGCCGGGCAGGATTCAAACCCGCTGGGCGAGATTCCCCGTGTCCCGGTGCATAGCCCGCCCCAGTGCCAGTCACACGGCCCCACTGGGCAGCTGTCTGGACCTGTCACACCAGATCTTGCCGACCTGCGGCTGTCTGGCTGCTCAGAGCCCCCAAGACCCAGGCCGGCACCCGGAGATGCAGCACTGGCCAGGGTCCCAGCAGCAGGGACCCCAGCTGCCAGGGGACCAGGCAGAGCAGAGACGGGCTTTAGGAGGACAGGCTGAACCAGGGACAAGGCCCAGTGTGGCCACCAGGGCCCTGGCCTTGTTCTTTGCCTCGCCCATGTCCCCTCCCTTCTGAGAGGGCCTCACTGGGACTTCCACACTGGCTGGGTGCCTGGCCCAGAGGGAAGCCGGCAGGGCACAGCTACAGCCAGGCGGCAGGGACATAGGCTTCCCAGAGCGCTGGGGAGTAGCCCAGATGGTGTCCCCCCCCTCTCCCCCCCCCACCGACCCGAAAGCCAGGGGACACGGCAAACTTTACCCTGTAAATGTCAGTGGCCGGAGGCCTGATCGGAGGCCTGATCACCGGCCACTGAAAGAGCTGGGGCTGACAAGGTCACTCGAAGGTCACCAGAGACTGTACAGAAGCCCAGTTCAGCCTCTCCTGGAGAGGTGGGTGGGGACAGGACCATAGAAACTGCTTCTCTAGTCCCCTGCCCCAGGTGGTCAGGGCTCACTCAAACCAGCTAGAGGGGAGGGGGCTCAGCACTGGGTAGTGTGGCTCCCAAGGGTTATCTCTGCGGCCAGTGCCCAGCACCTGCCCGCTGGCTTCCTGGTCTCCTCAGCAGGGATGTTCCCAGAGGGGGTCACCCATTCGGGCCTGTGGGGCGCAGATGAGAGCTGGAGGGTCAGCTCAACTCCCAGGCTGAGAGGTGGGGGTCAACATGAGGCCAGGGGACAGAGCAGCCCCCACCCCCCACCCCCTCCCTGAGAGCCTGGGCCTTCCAGCTAGGGCAGGCTCGCTCAGGATCCTGGCGCTTCAGAACCACCCGCACTGATGGCAGCAGGGTCTGCTCTGCCTGGACAGCCCAGGGGCGGGTCCACCTGCCCCACGCCACCACCCTGCAGTCCTGGGCACCCCGCCCCACTGTCTGGCCTGATGGCACAGCCTGCAGCAAAGGGCTGCAGAGAGAGGAGGGAGCTCTGAGCCAGCCCAGGAAGTTCTCTCCCACTTAGACCCACCCAGTCGGCTTCCGCTCCCAGCTGTCTGCCAGAGGTGTTCAGCAGGGGATCACCAGGCCTTTCTTCCTGGTCCCTCTGGGTGGATGTGAACAGGTACCCAAGCAGTGAAGACTGATGTGAAGAACTAGCTGTGTTCTCTGAGCCCACAGCTCGGGAGGGACCCCCCCCTGGCCCACTCTACCTCACCAGGCTGGATGCAACGCCGTGGGAAGCCCCCTCTTCTCCGGGCAGGGAGCCAAGGGCGGGTCCCTTCCCCCGGTTCCTACCACCCCCCCAGGCCTGAGGGGGACCAGGGTGGAGCCCTGACAAGGGAAGGAACCCGCCCCCATCACTCACCTGGTCTGAGGAACCCCCCATACACACACAGACACACTCACCTGGTCTGAGAACCAACCCCTCCACAGCCCCCACACCCAAATACACACTCACCTGGTCGGGGAGGTGGAGTCACGTGTCAGAATGGGTGAGGAGTTCCCTGATCTCGGGGGCCACGAGCCGCGCAGCATGTACAGCCTCGGTGATAGCTTTCCGGTACACCCCCTTCTTCTTCCGGTTGAACCTCAGTTTGAAGAACTCGGAGAAAGGGGCCAGTTTGGACAGGGACAAGAAGGACGTGGTCGGAGAAGCGAACCACGAGACTTTGGCTTCTCGCCAAGCAGGCTGCCCGTGCCTGTGGCTCAGGCTGATGTCGAGGATGCGGGCTGGCCACCAGGGGAAGCCATGGATCTTCCCCCACACGATGTCCCCCACAGCCACGGTCCTGCCGTCCTCTGTCACACACTGGGTGACGCTCTGTGTGTGCAGCCTCACCGTCAGCGGCGGAACCGTGGGCCGTGGGCTTTCCGAGGAGGAAGGCAGGGGCGTGAGCTCCCTGGGGCCTGCCGATGGTGCCTCCGAGCTGGACGGCTTGGACTCCTCTAGGCTGTCGCTGCTGCAGCCGGACTCGCTGGCCGAATCGGCCTTCCTCGGCGGGTAGCTGACCAGAAGAGCCAGGCCACCCTGCCTGCATTCTCTGTGGGGAAACGGCTGGAAGGTGTCCTCCTCACCGGAACTCCCGGAAGATGTGTCCCCTAGGCCGTGGTGGGAGGAGCCATTGGCCAAGAGATGGGGGGGGCTGGCTGGGTGGCCGTTCAAAGCCCCCACCAGCTCTGCCCTGTATACGGGCTCCTGCTCTCCCGAGGCCAGGCGGCCTGGCTTCAGGCGGATCTTTGGAGGGGGTGCGTCCAAGCTGGGGGCTGTCGCTGGTCGCGTCAGCTTCAGCTTGGGGATGGTAGCAACGGGGCTCCCAGGTGGCCTGGGCTCAGCATCCTGGGCCTCCAGGTCCTGGCTGCCCCCCAGCAGACCCTGCCCGGGGCAGAAGGGCTCCAGGGAGCCATGCACTCGGGAGGGGATCTTGACCACCTCTCCAGTGCCCTGGGGCGTGCTGTAGGAGATGGTGATGACTGGGCTGCGAGGGACAGGCTCCCCAGGCTTCCGCTCCTCCCGCTTGCTCCTCCTGGCTGGAGCAGCGGGTTTCCGTGGCTTATGGTCGGGGTCACTGCCCAGCGTCCTATCCGGTGCCGAGGGAGTGGCCGGCTGGCCAGGCGGGGCCTGCTGGGGGCTCAGGGTGCGCTGGCACTTCTCACAGAGGACTCGGCGAGGGCGCAGGCGGATGGTGCTGAGGATGAGCCGGCCTGGGGCCCGGTTTCGGGACAGGCGCCTTCGAGTCCGGTTGATGGTTCTGGGTGGGGGCTGTGGCACCCACTGGCCATACGTGTGCCTCAGCCAGAGGGGGTGGGGGAAAGGGGCCCCTTCAAAGTAGGGGGGGTGGGAGGGTAGGCTCCCAGTGAGCGGCGGCACCAGAGGAGAGGACGGCTGGAGGAGGCCATCCCCGTTGCAGGGAGGCGGGGAGTCCTCCAGCGGTGTGGCTTCTCTGGCCCCCTCCTCAGGGACCCAGACATGGCAGCCGCTGGCCGGTGGTTCCTGAGCCTTGGGCAGCAGAGCTGGCGGGGGCAGGCCCCAGAGGCCAGACCTGGGGGTGGTCAGAAACAGAGACTTAGGGCCAGAGTGTAGCCCACATGTTCTCCTCTGTCAATCCCCTCTATGCTGGCTTCAGGGTGGGGGCAGTGCTCACAGAAGTTCTGGGTTTTTAAGCAGATGCGCACACAGCACACACACGTGTGTGTGTGAGAGAGAGAGAGAGAGATTCCTGGCAAATGCAAGCACTGTATAGTTAGGTGACAAGCTCTAAGGCTGCTCCCTTGCCTGGCAGAGGCAAGGAGTGTTCTGGGTCTGGGACCTTGGTGACAGTGGGGGCATAGCTGGCAGCAGGAGGGCTCCTAGGACCCCAGACCTCCAATCCAGGCAAGAGGCCCTGACCAGCCCGGAGGGGGGAGCCTGGACCAGACTCTAGACGACACCCCCACACCAGGTGCCCAGGGTCCTTTGCCCATCCTGAGAAAGGATCCCAGGGGCTGGGGGCTGGGAAGATCCCTGTGTGGGGACTCGGCAGGTCTCTGTCCCTACCCAGGGCCTGACTGACCACTGTGAGTGCAGGGTGGTGAGGGAAGGTGGGGGTGATGGAGGGGGGTGCATGCAGCTAAGGATGGAGGCTGGCCTGGGGGTGGCATGAATGCACCCAATCCCCAGCCCCAGGGGCCCCCACTCCCACTGTCCCCGTGAATCACCCCTCTGGCTTGCTGGGATGCCCCCATCCCCTGCAGGGTGCCCTGAGGGGATCCCAGGCAGGAAATCCCAGAAGCCTCGGCACTGCCCTGGGGCTCCAGGGCCTCACCCAGTCCAGGCTGACACCCAGCTTCTGTGGTCAGTGGGGGTGGGTGCCAGGTCCAAGGCCCCTTTTCTCAAAAGGACCCACACTAAGGCCACAGGGTGGGCGGCATCTCCAGGCTCACCTGAGCCAGGTAAAGGCCCCAGGGGTAGTTACAATGAAGGCTGGTGCTTCGATTTACAAGGTGTGGGCCTCTGCCTTCTGAGATCTGTCCCTAGAGCTGGGGCACCACCTGCATTCTGACGAGGTGTCCCCCAGACCCTCAGGATGCACCAGGAAAACACCCAGGGTGTGTGCTCGGCCACCCGAAGGCAGCTCTGAGCACCGCCCTCGCACGCACTGCCCTCACCCACCGGGCCCGCTTGGGATGCCTTCAAGCCTTAGTGAAGTTTCTTAATTTTTGAGACTGCTTCAGCTAAACACAGTTATTTTTAAGTCCAAAAATAGACTTTCAGCACCACTGACATTTGGGGCTGGAGGATCCTCTGTAGGGTGCTAAGCAGCCCTGAGGCCCAAGCCACTCAGCGCCACCACCACCCCTTTGCCCGACAGCCAGGACTGCTCTGCACAGAACCCATGGGGTGAAGGGAGCGGGCAAGAATGGCTCAGGACTAAGAGGCACCATCTTACAACCTGCCCCCCTACCGTCTCAGATGGAGGAACCCCAGGGTGGGGGCGGGATGCAGGGGAGGGTGGGCTCAGGCAGTGCTGGGGCGGGGAAGCTACTGGGCAGGATCGGAGAGGATGCATTTGTGAGAACCCACAGGCCCCTACACCCCAAGGTTGCACCAGGGGTGCTCTGCGTCCATGCAGGGCCTTCCACTGTAGCAAATAGCCCCTGGGTACAAGACGTTTGCAACTGCAGGGATGGGGGCACCCACGGGCACTGCCATCCTTCAACAATGCTCCCCAGTCTGTTTTTGAAGAACACACTAGCTGGGAAAGGTGTCGAATTCTGCACCTTCCTCTCCTAGTTTTGTCAGAGAGCTGAAAGTCAGGGTGAGTTTTTCTGCCGTTTCCATTTCCAAATCTCTTCTACTTCCTGGGCTCCACCTTGAGCCTAGGGCTAGAGGGGGCAGGGTAGGGTGGGGGGGTGATCGGAAGACTCTCCCTTACACCAGGAAGTTGCACTGGGGTGAGGCCAGGCAGAGCTTGGAGCAGCAGGAGGGCCGCTAGAGCCTGTCTGACTGCCCCCATGCCCACAGGGCTCAGCCAGCCAGCCTAGTTTGGGGTGGGGGTGGGGGGTGCAGGACAGCCTAGCCTCACATGGCTGAGTCCTTCCAGACCCTGAGCCCCCAGTCCCACCCCACACCAGCACCAACCCCGAAGAAGCTTAACCCCCTTATGCCCCAATGGCAGACAGGCAGTGTGGACAGTTGGGGCGGGGACAGGGTCCTTGAGTCTGAAATAACCCTGAGGGACACGGCTCATCGCACCCAGGCAGTCTCACCCAGGCAGAGGGGAGTCTCGGGCCTGGCCAGTACAGCGCCTTCAGGTTGTTTCTGCCACTGGGCGGAGGGTTGGGGGGAGGGGGGAGCTATACACCCAGGCGGGCGCCTGAGGGCTTGCTGGGTTACCAGGCACCTGGCTGGCTCCACACAGGGCAGGGCCTCTGGTCAGGTGCTCATGCCTCGGGCAGGGGTGCTGCTCCACAGGCTAGCAGTGGCCCCAGGAGGCCCACTAGGCCTCAGGAAGCTCCAGGGAGCAGGGAACCGAGCCAGGCCAGGGTGGGAGCCCACACCACTCCCTCAGGCCTGCCCAGGGCACCCATGGTCTCACTGAGTCCTCACTGAACAGCCTTGGAGTGGGCCCGAGCCAGGGTGGGAGGAAGGCAGGTGGGGGAGACCCTGCGGCAAGGGCTGACTCCCAAACCCAGCCTTCCGCCTGGAGGGGTGCAGGGAGGGGCACAGAACCCTGCCTCGGGAGGAAAGACTCAGTAAAAGGCGGAGGCAGGATGGGGCTCTGGGAGGCTGGAAGACTGGAGCCAAGAGAAGTCCCACCCTCAAGGATTCAGGCAGCCAGGGCCCCAAGGACACAAAGGCTCCCCAGCTCAGGAAGGCTGGGAAGATGGGGTCTGGGGAGAAGGACCACAGACCTGGGTGAGGTGTGAATGCAGGCTGCCCGCATACACTGGCCTCCCACGGGTGTGTCTGCCCATGCAGAAGGGGTCCTACAGCCCCAGAGCCTGCTGGGCCCACTCTGGTCATGCAGACCCAGGTCTTGAGGCCACTGTGGTAGACGGCAGCCATTTGCCCCCCTGGGGTCCATGGCCCCCTCCACCTGGGACAGACATGGCAAGGATGTCCCCAGCCCAGTTATACTCTCCGAGTGGCCACAGGGTGGACCAGGGCACCCTGCAGGGAAGAGAGGGCCTGGCTGGCCCTCTTCCACCCAGGGGACTAGGGCCCGCCACCTGATAGGGATGCCCAGGTGAGACATCAACATGGCCCCTGACTCTCAAGCACACCACAAGTCATTTGGAGCCGTGCCTACACTCCCGCGGAGCCAGTGGCCTCCGGCAGGTGGGGCCCAGGGATGGGGGTAGGGTGTGCGGCTGGCTCATGGTTGCACCTGAGCACAGCAGCCAATGGAGGCGAGATTCAAGCCACATGCAGGCTGGAGACTCGATCCAAGTATGACCAGGGCCGGGGTCAGGAGCAGGGCTGTCTCAATGCATCCATTGAAGCATCTGCTCAGAGCCCTGTCTCCTCTGCCAACAGGGCACAGCAGGACCAAAGCCACTCCCCAGACCAGCCTGTCAGTCCACACTGGGCCAACTGTCAGCACAGACTGGGCACATGGGTGCAAAGCCTCCATGTCTGATGGCTAGTTCCTCAGGGACAGGCAGTGACCAGGTCTGCCATGATCGGAAGCAGCTCTGGAGGCAGGTGGACATGAGTCTGAAGGTCCCAGCTGCTCTGTGCCAGCCTCCTGCGCACAGCTCTGCCACCGACATGCTGCCCACATGCAGGGCAAGGTAGGCCGCCAGGCCAGGATCAGGGACACCTTTGCTACCCAGGTCACTGGCCTCCTGTCCTGGATCCTGCTAACATGTCACACCAGCTCCATGCCTTCTGATACCGGGGGCATGGGGCGGACTTGGGGGTGGTAGCAGCAGATAGGGTGCCTGAGAAGTCTAGGATGCTGACAGGGCCAGGTCCACCCAGCTCCTCCACAAGGTCACACACGGGGTCAGGTGCAGACAGAAGCCCAGTGGACTGCACCCTAGAGGCCCCGATCCAGCCCTGGGAGCAGCTCCGGTTACTATAGACTGTGGTCACCACAGGGCAGCCACCCACCAGTCAGGGAGCCCAGCCAGGCCAGGGTCTACTCCTGGGGAGCCCAGCACCCCTCATCCCAAGAACAGGCAGATGGCTGACCACCCGGCCAGCCTCAGTCCTGCCCAACAAGGACCGGGAGGCGGGACGTGGGTGGGTGGAGACCACACACCTCATTGCCAAGCCCTCTGCAGCCAAGTTATCTTCTGGGGGGTCACTACTGACCCAGGGCAGTGTTACGGGGGTGGATGGGTGGTGGGTAACAATATGCTAAGTCACATGACTTGTGTCTAAATGGCTCCTGGCCCATCTGAGATAATGTCATGGGGTACCGTAGGACGACACCCCCCTAACAGCAGGGTGAGCAAGGAGGGGAGGCATTCCTCTGCAAGGTCCGGCAGGGCTGGGACATTAGCGAGTGATTAATGCCTAATCATTTATCCCTGCGACAGCTCATTACCACGTGACCCGTATCCAGGCGACCCAGCTCTCCCCGCCACCGCAGCGCACAGGTGCGGGAGGGGGCTGGGCAAGCTGCCCCAAACCTCAGCGTGCGCCGGCCGCCCGCCGCCGGAAGCGGTCCCGTAACTCGCCGCTGCGGGGCGTGACACCCCTCGCCCCCAACGCTGGGCGCCCTGCAGACCTGGGTGGGGC